GAGACCCTGGGAAGGACATAGAATATATTTTATCCCGGAAATCGTCCCTTGAGGGGGTGACAGACGACAGTTTGCATGCGGAACCAACCTAGTGACAAACCCGAGCGAAGCAAGGGTGAGTCGCTAGTATAATACATATTCTGATAAAAAAATCTAATTAGGGATATGGTTTGCCAAAGGTTTTACAGTATCTCGACCTAACCTTTCGAGCACAAAAGCTAAGAATTTCTATATAACGTACGACATTAACAGCTAAACTGGAGCAATATATAAATAATGCAAAGGTCAAGAAATAGCATGCTTGGATCGGTGAGATATCCACAGCATCCACAGCTAATGTGGAGTAACGTCTAAGTAAACACTACTTACAGAGCTTAGTGTATGCGCGGTAATGGTCGCCTCTCGACGGGCTGCTGCTACATACAAGAAAATGCACTAATACCTAATGCGATCTTAGTTTCTTTTAAGTATAAAATCAACTTATAGATTAAATACACTTATTTAGTTTAATAGTAATCTATAATAATAATAGTTTTTATTATTTATAAATCTAAGAAATACCAGTATTCTCTCCATCGTCAGGAGATCGTGATGTGATAATATATATACATACATCTATAAATGTAATAAAATTGTAACTCAGTCGAATCTCAATACTGATAACAATAATGAATAAACTAAATATTTTTGGGAAATCTTATTGAAATAGTCATTATTATCGATACAGAGGCCGAAAAGCTTTTAGATTTTTTTCTGTGTGTCTGTCTACTAACACGAGAAAACCACTGGACAGATTTGATGAACATTTTATATGATAGCTGGGTATCCGGGTCAACATATAGGCTACTTTTTACTGCGGGAAAATATTTTATCTCTGGGAAATCTATATTAACGGTTAACACGTTCGCTGCATTACGAGATCTATCAGATCTCTTGCAGGACTTTTGTACTGTGCGTTGACTATAATCGTGTTGTTTCACTCCTTGCGGGAGGCTCTAACGTGTAAAGTTCTTTAAATATGAGTAAGACAAATATACATATTTGCTTCCTACTTAAAGGTGAATTCGAGGACATAAAAAAAATAAATAGAGATGGATTAGGTCCCTAACGCACAGTAGTATAATTATTTTTATTCCTTGCGTTAGGAGACATGTCGATACTCGTGGAATCGTACGCCTCGTAGACGCAAGAAAGGGAGGTTGGTGGGCGCGGGCGCTGTGTGAATCGATTTAGTGTTGTCCTAGTGTCGACGTGGGAGGTTGCGCGCACGTTTCGAAAAAGTGTAAATTTTTTTTATTTAATATATTTTATTTAATTATTTAATAAAATTGTTTTATTTTGGTGAGATTTCTAAGAATGAAAAATCAACGCTGGATTATAGTGCTGCATCGTCCAGTATAATTACAATTTTGGAAAATATAATGCTTTTTATTACAGAATTCCCGAAGGAAAGATGTACAGATCATGTTTTCCAACGTGGCGACAAAAAAAGACGTTGTGTGGGGTTGTTATGAAAAATTACGACGCACATTAAACAGCACTGACGCTTCTAAAAAAAGCTGAAAAAATACCATTTGCACGCAATGCAAATAATCAATGTGCTTACTATGTTTTAATGAAAAACACTTTGTATAGTTTATAAATAAACTTCTTTAATAAAACTTTTTCAATCGACAACTGAGATATTATTTTATTCCCATCACTACTTACTACACATATTGAACTATCTTCGGTTGCGGTACGAGATACAATCGATATCTAATTTTTTTTTGGTATTTGTAGCTTATTCTAATGTCATAACTGCGTGCGAACCTAGCAAAATGTAGAGCAATAGGCTCTCTTGACCCACAAAAACTTTAAAATATATGTCATTAGTTTTTTGGAAGATATAAATTATTTTCAAAACTGTATTTTTAGGAGACTGATTAGGTCTCTAACGCACCAAAGGGTAGGCTAGTTTCGAGATCTTTTAGGTCTCCAAAGCACCAGCTGAAAGTTCTTTCAAAATGATGACGCAGTGAACGTGTTAAAGCGCTCCACACCACGTAACTCCAACATATCATGAAGAGACCGAATTGACATGAAAAAAAAACAATTAACTATTAGAATTATACATTTTGACTAGCCTTTCGCATTGCTAACATCATATTTAATCTGGTATACATATTTGGATAAAGTAGTAACATTTACAAAGCAGTTACCGCTTCATGAACTACTTAAGCGCAAATTAACATATATTCCTATCTTATTTTGTTTTGTGGCTACCCTAAACGGCTAAATAAGATTTTTTGCTTAGTACCAGAAAGAAGAGTTTTGTGAAGCATTCCGAAAATCGATTCTAAGTATTATGTCTTGACATTTTAATTTTTACAGACTTTGTTGTTACAGGTAGTCTGTAACAAGTTTATAACGCCTTTGAGGCGTCTATAACCTTAGTCGCTCTCGTGACCATGATTGCTGTAAAGCATTCGAAACGTCGGGAACCAAAAATCAAAATAAATCCGCGAAATAATCCGAAAAGATAGTTTTATTTAAAATGTCAAATATTCGCGTAAATCTAAGAAAGTATTATGATGTCTTGAATTATAATTGCAGGAATAGGCCGTGCACCGTGTAAATATCTCTAAGACGGCTAAACTCGGTGATATCAGACAGCATATTGTTTTATTGAACAATATAAATTAATGTATTAAAATAACTCGCTCCCCCGCGCCGGTCCCCCCTTAACCAAGTCCGATATGGAATAGATTTTTCGATATTACATCAAACAGCGTCTGTCAAAAGGCCTTTGAGAAGTCTAATATTCGACGCTGTCCCAATATTACCAATATCTAACATGCAAATAAGGTACTTTGATGAAAATTCTCATTAGTGCGATGTAATCATTCTTCTTACGGAAACAAAATTTTACTACTGATTATAATAATTTTATCATTTCTAAGAATTCAATTAGATAAAAGAAAAATTGTCATTTTTCAAGTTGTACTTTTGGCGCGTTATAAAAAAATATTAAGAGTGATTTTTTTACAATGTGACAGATTTAGACTATGTCTCCCTTTAATATAGTGTGATGTCTATATTCAAGATATTTATTCCGGTATTTCTATATACACAACACATATTATATATCGATAAAGCTAAAAATTATTAAGAACTTTTGTTTAGAACACCTCTCCCGGTGTCTGTCTGTAATCAAATCTTCCAAATTAAATTTGATCCACTTTTCAGTGTCCACTAAACGGCACACACGTTTGGTTCTTGTGACAATGCACAGTTACTTAATTGTCGCTATTTTTAATCCAATATGGCGGACGTTACAGAATGGTGATTTATCATTTCCATAGTGACCCTTATGATATGACTTGACGTCATTGTAAAACAAACACGGTGGCCTTCCAAAGATGGTGGACTATACTTTTTTATGCACCTTCATGATATCAAATAAAAGAGTTTACTGAGAAGAATACGAATAAAATGAAAATTAAAAAGAGAAAAGAGAAAAAAGTAAAAATGAATTAATAAATAAAAAAAAACAAGCTTTTATTTAATTTATATAACATATATTATTATTATTTTATTTATTATTTTATATAACATATATTAGTTTTTAAGCAGCAGTGTTTAAGTCTGAATAAAAATTATCATACCAAAGTTCATCAAAATCCCTCCAGTGGTTTTTCCGTGATGCGGTAACAGACAGACAGGCAGAGAAAATTCCAAAAACTATAGATTCGGCCTCTGTATCGATAATAATGACTATTTCAATAAGATTTAAAAAAATATATTTAATGCACAGATTCGGCTTAGTTACAATTTTATTATATGTATAGATATAATAGGTAGATAAGATGCATAAATAGACTATTAAAATGCGAACCCTCCTTTTGACCTTTTCCCCTGTCGGGTATAAAATATAGTCTTACAATGATCTACAATTACGTAAAAGTTTTATAAAAAAAGGCTGATTGAGGACATAGTTTGTTCAAAAAAGTGACTTCGGTTATTGTAGTGTAGTGGTACTCTGTAAGAATTTTTATTTAACTCTACAGCTAAATTCGCGATAGTACTTCATACAACTAATAGATGTACTCGTATGTTCATGGGTTCAGCTCAGATTCAGAAAGCTCTTACAGAATAGCCTTACACTGTATTATATATATTCTACACAAAAATATATATTTTAATATATACACTTTAAAATATACAATTTTGTGTATAATTTTAAAGTAATAACAGTAAAATTAAACATTATAACAACAAAATAAACCTTTCAGAGCACTTTATTCTATAAAAAGGTTGATTGAAACGAAGATAGCCGCTTCTGTAATTATTATTGACCGACGCCACGGTAAAATTTTATTCGTCTGTATTTTTGTGTTCATGTTAACCAATATATTCGTCAATTGTTAAACGATATTCATAAGACTTTTTATGTTAAAAAAAATTAGGCGAAGGGTGGTTCTAGGTAAATAAATGAAAAAAACGGATGCGTATAACCTTTACGCGCGATTAAAGTAAAACTTCTTTGGCAAATATCGCAACGGTATCGGTAACACCGGTTACCATGACAACAAATAGTCATAATAGCTTTTATTTAATTTATGACTAATAATTATTATAAAATTATTACTAATAAATATATATTTTTATACATAATTATTATTAAAATAAAAATATAATATATATTTAAATAATATATCTAAAAAAATATTAATAGTAAATTTTATACCCACTTTCGCGCCGCTCATTTTTCCAATGTATTTGACTTACCCTTCAGTTGCAGAAGTTATACTTCAATAAAAGAATTTCACCCATATGGAGTCTTTGTCTATTCTAAGCACGAAGAAATGTTTCATTTGAAATATCTAAGATACTCGTAGCACGGAGGCCTACTAGCTAGCTACTACAATATGAATGTGTGATGAATATAAATTTTAAACAGCTATATATAAAGAAAACAAAATTAACGGAAGTTCCGGTTCAACTATTACACATTGTTATATATTACCTCTATAACTTTTTATATACCTCTCACAGGCGGTTCTTAACCTACGGAGCGCTCTCTTGTTGGTAGTGAGGTCCTTCTTGTACTTCCTCTTGAATTCCTGGACGAAGTGGTTCACCATGCGGTTGTCGAAGTCCTCGCCTCCCAAGTGCGTGTCACCGGCGGTGGATTTAACCTCGAAGATACCATCCTCGATGGTCAGGATGGACACATCGAAAGTACCACCACCGAGATCGAAAATAAGGACATTACGTTCTCCACTTCCTTTTTTGTGAAGACCATACGCAATCGCAGCAGCAGTGGGTTCATTGATGATTCGGAGAACGTTAAGGCCAGAGATGGTACCTGCATCCTTTGTGGCCTGCCTTTGTGAGTCGTTGAAGTACGCTGGAACCGTGATGACTGCGTTTTGCACCGTTTTGCCGAGGTATGCCTCGGCTGTTTCCTTCATCTTTGTAAGCACCATTGAGCTTACTTCCTCGGGGAAGAAGGTTTTGTCTTCACCTTTGTATGCTACCTTAATCTTTGGTTTGCCTCCATCACTGACCACTTCAAATGGCCAATGTTTCATGTCGGCTTGTACAGTAGCATCCTCGAACTTGCGACCAATAAGTTTATTTTGAAGTGATTTTGGAACGATGACGATTTCATTTTAACTCCCTCTATTGTAATTTCAATTTTAATACAACTCAAACAGTTAACTCGAGTTTTAATTTCTATTTTTCATTTTACTTTAATGTGCAATTTTCAAAGGGCGACAATGAGGAAATATCACCATTCCCGCGCAACATCTCACTAACGAAATAATGAGAGGACGACGTTTTATGTAATTGTTTTATCCATTGCTCGCCCTACGGGAAAATCTTATAAGTATTTTAAATGAATACGGAGTGAACTGAAAGTTTAAAAATTGGATCGCGGACGTTGGTATTTTACGTGAATTTACAACATAAAAAATTAAATTATCATTTTTTAATCTAATACATTATTGCCATATCGTCATAATTAATTAAGCGAGATGAGATCTATAATTAGATGTAAAAAAGGGAATATCGGCAAGGGATAACGCTTTTAATAGATAGACACTGAATAGAGACCTGCACTGTAGGTACTCCTCATTCACGACATATAACACAGGCTATATATAACCCATAAGAATTAATACAGAACCTCCCTCAATACTTAAATTGTTTTAGTACACTTAAATAAATAATTTGTAAACTATGAATTAAAATGTTTTTTTTTATGATAAATAAAGATTATTTCGTATTGCAATTATTTAATTTTACAATTATGACATATTAATTATGTAAATAGCAGTATTACATATCAACGTAGCGTAAACCTCCTTATATCAGAAATTGTAGGTTCAATTCTCGCTAGGGGCTTATTACTAAGATTATATAATACCACCAATGCGACACTAATGTGGGTACATTTTAAAATAGAAAACGAAAGTAATTTTCTCTTTACTATTCCCGGTACTACCACTCTCTTATGCGTCTCGCTAAGCTTATCTCTTAGCTACGAGTAAATATATACATATCTCGATTATCACAAAATATTCACAAGATAGACGATAATTCTTCCAACATCCGGAAGGTAATTTACACAATAACAAATGACCTTCGGGACACGACAGTGCTGCAATAAATCCTCATCTTAAATATATAAAATTAGACGACACACAATATGTCCCTTGCAAATAATTTCCAGTCATTGTTTATATGGCACGTAATTTTTCACGATAATCTGATTAGCCCTATAGATCAACATTTAACATGATTTTCTCGAACGTATCCACATTCGCAGATTGTGATTGGGACCATATTTATAACTAAATATTACACCGGTATTCTCTAGTACAAATTTGTTTTAGACACATGATGAATATTTTATCTCTTAAATATAAACTATAAAATATAAGATAAAATTTTAACATTGATATTTTACCTTATTTTATTGTTGAGTAGAGTATTGTTGCATGCTCTTGCACGATAGAAAATTTTTTACACTTCACATAGGTAAGTAAATTAATTTACTTTCAGGTTCTCTAATTATATAAATTATATACTTAGGAGAGCGCGCTGGCTATCCGATAATTATAATGACTGGTATTAATATGCGAACAAAAGTTCAAAAAAACCATTTTAAAATTCTTTCATTTTATTTTTAATTACAAGTAGCATTAAAACAAATTCATCACCACGCGTCACCGAGTGGCACCGACGCGAAAAACCATTCACTTTTCTAGCCAAACGCACGGGAAATGCTTAAATGCCCCGTTATTTTTTTTATTTTTTTATTTTTCCATGATGGCCCAGGCTGAGGTAAAATATTCATATACATTATTTTTATATCAATAAATAATTATAACCTTATCATTTAGGCATTTAATTAGAACGGGTTAAAACAAGTAACAAATTAATATTTTGTATGATTAAGTATATGTAATAGAAATATATTCTAAGAATAGTTAGAAACAGCTTATATTAAATGGGCAAATTAATCGCGAGATATGATGGATGTTTAAGTTTGATAATGATTTCGGTATTCAAAAGCCTGCCATATACATCTTTAAAAGATATGATATAATTTTATTGACGGACTTTGTAACCTATTGTAGGTTACAGGTAGTTATATTATTATTACTCATTACATATAAGTTTTTAGTTCTCCTTATTGTATTTTACTTGCTTACCGCTAATATTATCTTTAGATTATAATCTTAAGTAAAATTATAGTTTTATAAAATTACTGCTCTCAATCAATATAAAACGTCAAATTAATAAACCAATCGGACGAAGCAGTGGTTGGTTGGTAGTTTGTTATAGATTGGATAACTTTAACATATTTCAAGAGTAAAAGTGGAATACGCAAGGTGGGTGCTTAACCTGCATTTTTTTATATCGTGATAAAGTTTAAATTCAACGCTAGAAGAATGGTTACAGGTTACAGCTCTTTTTATTTCCTGCTCAATCAAGCGTTTAACCGATACAGACTGCAACCACTAATTGCGAGGGCGGCACTGGCTATTGAAATTAATAAAAAATAAAACTCTAAATGCCATCGTTTTACACAAAAAACTACGATTTTAGATATTCTTCAAATGCTACCAAAATTTGTTGAGAAAAAAATGAAATTTCACTTAAAAAGAAAGAGCGTTCTAATAATCAAATAACAATATAAACAAATAAGGCCCAGTACACAATAGGCGTGATTTCCATACAAATTGTACACGCAGATGGCGCTTGAATATTAAAAGAATTTTAATTTAACGAAGCCTTCGCTAAAAATCTCACGCCACCTGCCATTGTCTGTAATAGTTTGTTTGCTGATATTTTATAAAGAAAAATGTACGTATTATTCCTTTCGACTCGTATATGTTCATTTGAAACGCTATTACGTAAAACGTCATTACAAATATGCTTTTACTTTGAACCCCTACTATTTATTTTTTTATAATAGTAATACCTAGGTATAATATTATATAATTTATGTATTTAATATTTATTATATTTCATTTTATGTACTCTGTCATCGTCGTTTGTAAGTTTGTTTGTAAGGTTGTTTCTTGCGTTCCCAGGTATTAAGTAAAGGCTAAAATAAAAAGTAAAATGATACCTACTGCTGGGTAGATTTTTTTAATATTGGTTGTTGTTTGAGTTTAATTTTTTTATTTAAATTTTTATATTCATCAAAAGTATCTATACCATCACAAATGTTACTTTATTTTATTTTTTAGTATTGAGATTTATTTATATTTTATTATAACTCCTTAGGATAAAAAATTGAGAGCGGCTTGCTACTACAATAACTCGTCGTTTTAATGTTAGCGTAAAGAAAAAAAAATGTGAATTACTAACTAAACACCTTGCAGTCCATATGCGAAGAAATACAGAGCTTTATTTTTTTTTAATAATATTTTATCTCAAAATATATTTGCAAATATGTTTTATAAAATATCTTTATTAAGTTTCCATGGTTTTGGCAAAGGACTATGGCGTCTTCATTTATGTTATTACATATATTATGATTATAGTATGCTAATACCAATGAGGAGGTGCTATCCCAATTAGATAACCTCTTGTTTTAAATTTATGGCACTCTCCTCTCCAACATAATGAATTTAGACGCAGACACTTGTTATAAAAAACCTTGTAGCTAAAATTGATCAATATTACAATTTGATTGTTCAGAGTCTCGTGTTTTTCTTATTTAAGTATTACTGAATAAATATTTATTATTTTATATACTTATTAAAATTACATTAAATAAAAAAATCAAACGTCCTACGAGTAAGTTAGGATTCATTTTATTTATATGTTTCGTATTATTTTGATTAGCAACAGGCAGGCAGTTCAAGTTCTTACAAAATATGATATGGTATTATTGTTTAAATTGTACACAAGCGTAAAGACTTGGGCCTTTGTTATTCTGTTGGTAATATAAATATACAATAATTTCTAATATAAATGTCTAAAAATCTTTTTCGAGCCAATTTTACTTTAAGGTTTTTACTTTTTTCATAAAAATATCACAACAATATTGTGAGATTTCTACCGAAATTGCGTATTCTCATTAAAAACAATAAATCTTTGAAATTTGTATCTTCTTTATGAAAGAAAAATAAAAAAATAGTATACATACAAATCGTTTTTTATATGTAGAGAAGCAATGAAAAGCTACGAGTATTTCTACTACGGTTCTTCACTTGATTGACGTTTTGTGGAAGTGAAGTATACTTCCTGTCAGTTGGGCGGATTCTTGTTTGTTATTGGGACCACAAGTGGCACTGTATTTTATTTTTATTAAAATTAATATAATAATTACTCCAGTAGGTATATTAGAAAGAGAGTGGACAACCGCTGTCACTAAATAATACATCAGCCTATTGATGTCCACTACTGAACGAAGGCCTCCGCGAAAGCTTTTATTATCATTTTAATTGGAAGATTTATGATATCATTTTTGCTAAAATTAGAACATAAAGAATGCTTCTCTTTTTAGGATTAGCAATAAATCCAAAACTATGACAAAAATACCGCGAAATATCAAACTGGCGACCAATCCTCACGTCACTTAAGTCCCGACGAACGTCCTCCAGAAACTACTTTCGACCTCTCGCGGGAAGTACTGGAGAAGACCGATATATCGACTCTATTAACTATTTATATGCAGATGAATATTTCCTTCCGAGATAGAAACAAAATCACATAGTGACCATTACTTTAGGATAAATAATATTTTTGATTCAATTTTGATATTTTAAATCAGTTCAAAAGAACAAAAGGTTTATGAAATTGCTGGCTGTAAGCCATTCCAAGAGAGAACTAAAAATATTTATTTCTTTTTAGACAAAAAAAATCTTTTATTCACTTTATAGTTTAGATATTGAGTGAAATATGATGGAACGGTCGTAAAGTGCAATGCTTATCGCGGGAGAACGCGATAAATCACGACCGTAAATGCGATGTGTTCACAGCTTTAGTTGTAAGAGACAACTATAGTCACCGTTACAAAGTGCTATTATTTATTTAGTCTTCATTTATTCTTTTTAGCCGCTTCGATATTTTGATACTTTGAACATTTCGATGTTTTATTGAACTGAAAATAAAGATTTTGATACTTTACATAGTCTTAATAACAGAAAAACTTAAATTAGTGGTCGAAAAAAATGAAGTTTCTGTTAACATACTTATGACATAAACAACCCAGCAAAACCCATCACACTGCCATTATTTAATGATTATTACGAGTAAAAGCAAGATTTGAATTTGATTCATGTTCAGTGTTCACGTTCCGATATAAAATTAATTGAAGGGCAAATAAAACTAATAAACTATTAAATAAATTATTGAAAAACTTATTTTTACCATTGAAGTATGAAATTACAATAAAAATATGGTATTAATTAAAAATGTTAATAAATATATATCAAGAGCATCAGAAATAATTAAGTAGGTAAATAATGTAAATAACACCTACTGTTTATAGTTTTTAAATAAACGGATCCATGATTTTTTTAGTATTTTTCACATTTCCCTATTATTTCCGCGTAACTGCGCCTGCTTGAAATATTTACTGTAGGTATATATCATTAAAACGTACTGTTTTACTACATCAAACCTATATTCTTTTGTGTAGAACTTGCTAAAGGTCCTCATAAGTCAAATAGATATCTTATCGGGTGAAAATATTCGCCATGAACGTGTTTCGATTTTCAATAAAATATTTATAGTGTAACATTATAAAATATTTTATATGATGTTCAATGAAAAGAAAATTGATATATTAAGAATATTCTAATATACGTAGATTCACCTAAATATCTGTCTATATTTCCATAAACTTGGATTTTTATAAATATTATTTTATCCAACTAAAAGAATATGATTTGTCATTTTCTTAACAATTGTTAGATTGGTATAGTATAAATATAATTTGCACATAACATTTAATTATGGCGCGTTCGAGTCTCAATGAAATGGTGTTTAAAGTTATTTTTTATTTATTTATTTATTTATTCATCATTAAACATACTTACAATACACATGTTAAAACAATTCAATACGATAATTAAGGTAAAAAAGAAACAGACATGCATATCAATTACAAGTGTACATAGCATTCATAATAATAAGTAATTATTATAGTAGTTAATAAAAAATACAATATTAATAAGATTTAGAAAAAGCATAATTTCAAATAAAATAAAGTAAAAATAAAAATAATTCAATTTTAGTTAATTAACAATTAATTAATTGTATAAAAATTAATATATGTATGTATTTTTAAATCACAGTTTTGGATAAATAATAATCTAATAGTTTGTGCTTAAATATTTTGATGTCATTAATTTATTATTTATTTATTTATTAGTTATGGATATTAAATAGAAGGGAGTAAATGATCAATATATAAATGCTCCACTGAACTATTTATATGATTCGTTTAGATAAATCTTGCACTTTGTTATTTTTTTATTTTTTACATGTATGCTACGTTCGAGCCAATTATGAACCGAGTTAGACTTTTTTCTCAAAATACAGATTTCTTGCCGCTAAAACTCCATCCTTAATTTTAAAGTCAGTGCACCATTTTTATTAGAAAATAATTATTTGGACAATTGCAGAGATAAATGGTATTTGGTAATGGGGTAGGAGATTGAATTTCACAATTTTCGCCGGCGAGCGGCGTGCGGCGCGCGGCGCGCCTGCACGGACGATAATTTTACTTAACGTTTATAAATAACTGAGACGCGATTATATTTCAACTTAGGCATATTTTTTCTTATATCCTTGTCGTAAACGTCGACATTAATTATATATACTATATATATCTTATTGAAGTTAGTTATAACTCATTAGGTACACATCAATGACCCTATAGGTCATACTTTACTGATCATTACTTAGCATCAAATAATTCGTATGATATATACCTAACACTTTTATTAAAAAAGATATTCTTGGCTAACACAGTAGGTACACCCGTTGCAAGGGCGTTAGCTAACCATATATTAGATGTATTTACCATAGTTTTTCCCCGCATGCTCATACCGCGTAACAAACACATACTGACGTTTCCACATTAATAATATTTGTGTGATATGTTTTCAAAGACAAACTTACATTTCTCTATATTTCCATTTTCCATTCTTTAAATATTCTTTTCTAGTAGGCAAGCAGGCTAAGCTTCCATTTCGCACAATGCGCTCAGGGAGCATTGAAGCATCCTTTTGTGCAGTTTCTCTTTAACGCAGTAGATGTACATACATACATCCTCTTACTAAGAAACGCACAATATACTTTACATACACATCTTGTTATATATAATATTTTGCATTTGTTACAAATAGTGTATTTTGATGTAAATAAATTCGTTCCGGAGAGGATATCGAAAGTATACAGAATCTTAATAAATAATATATAATTGATATCTATGCATTAATACATCTGCTACTACCGCCTCCCTTAAACAGACAAAACTATAAAAAACTTATAAAAGTATTAATTTTCATTAAAATATTAAAATTTTGTTATAAACATTCTATTTTTAACCGATTAAACGGGATCAATAGACATTAAAGTTGTCACACTCGGCTATTATTTTCAGTATGTGACAAAGCAGAGAAATATTGGACTAGAGTGTTGTTTACTGTTGGCTCGTACACGTTATACGTATGCGAAACTGTCACGTCTCTTCATCGCGAAAACTTATATCCTTTGATACGAGAAGGAACACAAATTGCTGTTTGTTCAGATTATCTGATGATATACAAAAGCAAAACTAAAGACTACTGCGAAGCTCTCCCCACGCGACGCCTGCTCAGCTTGTTAGTTTGTTTTTGCTATAATATTCTGCTGCTACTATAAAATACATTATCCTTTCTTTCATATATTTTAAATGTCAACACTTAGAACCAAACCATAACAAAACCTAATTAAGGTTTTTTTTAAGCTAGTGTTAGTCGAAATTCGAATCATTATTGATTTTGTTAATGATAACACTAAAGCTCGTCAATAGCTACTAATCAAAAGAAAAATAATTTCGATTGACCAACAGAGAAGAAAAAGATTCTTAACTTCTTTGTGTGAATTAAGGAAAATATCTATACTAATATTATAGAGGAAAGATTTTTTTGTTTGTTTGCTTGTTTGTACCGAATATTTTCAGAAACTACTGAACGGATTTAGATGAAATTTGGTAAGAAGATAGTTTGAGACCCTGAGAAGGACATAGGATAGTTTTTATCCCAGAAATCTGCCTTAAGGGGTTGGAAATGAGGATGTATGTATATACTAATGAGTTCAAAGAATATAGTTTAAAAATCCACTGTTTGAATTTCGACCTAAATTATGTGGTTTACTTATAGAGTTTATATTTCATACTTTTATCAATGCTTGGAAATAATGAAGTCATTTAAAAGCGCAAAGAGTCAGCACATATTTGTTCGAGGGAACTGCCAAATTATGTTTTTTCTGCTTATTATTTATGTATATTATGAGACTCGTTTACATTACCTGATTCTTTACTTTCAGCTGAAACATTTATCTCGACACTACAAATAAATATTCTATTAGATATGAATTGAGTGGGTCATTTGTTGACCAACTTCAAAAGTAACAAGTGCATAATTTGAGTGTATGTTACGTATTATTCACCAATACAACCAATTGCAAACGATTTTTATAAATTAGAACTTTTTTGTAAATTAGCTCATTTTGTATCAATTTTTTTTAAATTTATTTATTTTTCGACTCTGCGATCCATGTCCACAATATTATGCACTGTGAATGAGCAAAGAAGTTACAAAAGACAATACGAACACTGCTGTTAGCAATGATGGACATCGCAGACCGCCTGTGACCTCTGTGCCGTAAAAGTCATTAAATATAAGGAATCAATTATTTATATTATAACTTTACATAAATAATGATACTGCCAATACTGAAGTGTTTAAGTATGTCAATGTTTTTGGCTTGAATCTGGAAAATATCAAAAAAGTCGAGTCTCTTATTTAAAAAGTTGCAAACTCGAAACAAGTTGATAATCTCTAAATTAAATCAAGGCGATACCTAAACTTCATTTAACTTATTTGAAAAAGTTTATCGTGAATATTAATCACTTTAGGTACTCTTTGACAGTTTCAAACCAAATTCATGTATCTCATTATTAAATAATCAGAAAATATAAAATTCTAAGCTGTGACGCTTTCGCAAGAGACTAAGAAATGAAATTGATAAAAAAATTGCGTGTTTGCAATTCACACACGGTAGAAGTGAAACTTCAGAAAAGTAACCTACGATAGAATGAGATGAATATAGAGTACCAACAGTAGGATAATTCGTAAGGTTTTTTTTATTATATTGTTGCCAAGTTTAAAAGTTATTTAACATATATTACATTACATTATTCAGTATTATTTTTCACTTCCTGTGTAATATATTCTATTTCATTCTCTCGCCGGCTTTTTTCTATATTTATGTATTTGTCTCTTTCTCGTGCCCCTTTTCCGTTTCATCGAGTTTCAAATCACAACGTTTCTAAAGAAGTTTTACTTCATTCAATATACATTAAAATCGGCTGTAGTCGTCTTACCCTACCCGAGGTATCAGATCCAGTTTCCCTTTTATCACAACATATTCTGTAAATTTAATATATTTTTTAATAACATATTAAGTTTGTGTATAATGTGTATATAAAAGAATTTGTTAACGCACAGATATTTATAAATATCTACATATATTAGATATAAATGTATAAAAAGAAGTTTTGAGTAGTACAGCGAATTCTCTGTATTGGGCCTAAACAAAATATGCGCGTTAAACAACCTCAGATTTCTTTTAGCATAAGCATAAACAAGATAAATTGTGGTTATGGGTTGTTTTAATAAACAATATATAAAAAAAATCGTTGAACTCCCTTCTGACATGTTAAATTATTCAAATTAGTAAAACATGACATCAGCAGGTGTAAATTCTACATGAATAAACATGCTTCGAACAGCCATAAATTTGCGAGAAGGACGAAGCACGTTGTTGTCAAAAATTGCTCCCTCGCAATCCAACCTCGTATTACCAAGCTAAATTGTTTTTGCCCTCACTTTTTACGAATACGAATACTTTCGCTTACAGACTCAAAAGTTAATTGAATTTAAACAACACGATTCAAATTATAGTAAACATTTAATATCACACACGGAACCCAGCTGTATGGATGTACATATATTGATATATACTTCTTATCAAATCTACTAACAAATTAGTATATTTGACAAGAAAGTAAAAATCTTGCTCCTTTTGTAATATAGGTATAATCATTGAAATCATTTCATCAGTCAAAGAAAATGTATTTTATAACATTAATATTTTATTATACGGTTCGTAGTTACTTGTACATTGTTAAAGAATTATGTTTCTTCCTCCTGTTTTAATTGCTCAGAAATGGTAAAATTTATAGTTCAGAGATTATTCAGAAGACATACAAATAAACGCAAAACTTTTAACTCAAAAAAAGTCTATGACACAAATTTACCATCATCTCAGCTTTAGATAAAAATATTAGGGAAATCCTTTGGCTATGGCTCATTGCGACAGTCTTTTATTCTTGCAGTCGCTGGCACTTTTAATCTCTGTTAATGAACTGGTCTTTGAGCTCTAAGTCCTCAACTCAAACAGACGCGCGGCGCTGTTACTGCGAGCTCGGAAACATCCCTCTTCCCAACACTCTTATCTTTTAGCCATATTTACTAACCATGTGGTTCATTTTTAACGTTCATTAAAAGTCTAATAGATAAATATCTTATTTGTTATGCTTTTTAAAGTTTATAATAAACTTTAATTATTTTATAATAAATAATATTATGTCTATGTATATCAATGTCATATTAAATTATTAGTTACTTTTAGACAATTGGAAAAATAAAAACGTTTTCGCTCACGAAAATTTCATCTCAAATCATATCTTCACTATATAATACATTTTCAATAATATAATCTCAGATAATATATCATCATCATATTCACGTGCATTTATTTTATTCTAATTCTTCCCTTATTTAATGAACCTAAACATCGTAGCTGATGTATGCTTTACTTTAGAAGATTATTTTTTTAAGCAGCACGTCTAATAAAAACCGTCATTAGGGAAAAATACAGGCAGCAAAGTATTCAGAGTACAAGTTAGCGTAATATTATAAGTAGGAATCTCATCTCGAGCTCATTAGACCCTCGTTACGAAGCGGCCGCGGTAAAAAGTGCAAAAGTGGAAAGTATGAAAGTGCCTACGAGGTGGCCCCGGCGGCCCGCCGCCGTGCCGCGGCAACTCGTCTGCGCGCATTTGTCCTCACTGATGCTTGATTACAATTTGTGTATTTTCTTTTGCATTTCAAAACGTCTTGGAAAGGTTTTCTTAAAAGTTTATGTTATCAGTTCTTTTAAATTTATATATTTTTAAAAGAGTCTGTGAAATTTGTTTTCAGAGATTTTTGTAAAGTTTTACCTACATGTATATATTATGTAAATTAGTCACTTTGTAGTTTGTTTAACCGAGTGATCAATACAATGTACTCGCATAATTCATATGCTAGTGAATCTGTTGTGTAGAAGTAAATACACAAATGGACATTTATGGTCTAAATGAAAACATGACATTAAAGTAAGGCGCTATTTATTGATAAGTTTCTAAAGGTTTTAGTGATGTGGTGCTTCATAGAGATTACATCTTAACATGACCAACGACTCTCGTACCTTATTTCTTGTAATGAAATAGAGACCAACCAGATTTCCCTTATCAATTTTATATTTTTTCTATTAAAAAATATATCTTTTTAAATTTTATTAAAAAAATATGCAAGCGTGACATCTTTTGCAAGTTAACTTTTACAAATTTTAGCTTCAATCTAAGTTACTATCTATAATCTATGGAGTGTAGTAGTGAGTGCGAAGTAGCGGAGTCAGCGCGTCTCGTATCGCGATCACATCTGTGATTGATGACCGGCGCGGCGTCGACGCGCGACGGAGCGGATGTCAACTAGAAATTCACATTAAACTAGTTCACTTTAAAATATTATATTACATTTTTAAAGCTCAAAGATTATTAGCGATCTATTAACGGTTTAGTCGATGGTTTATTAAAGACTAGTAGTTCTGTACACAGTAGACCTCGCGAGCGCAAACTGCATTTTGAACAGCTATTCTGCTCATCACGTCAAAGATCCTCATC